CTATCTATCTATCTATCTATCTATCTATCTATCTATCTATCTATCTATCTATCTATCTATCTATCTATCTATCTATCTATCTATCTTGTATAATAGGGCCGAAAATGTCTGTAATACTATGGGGAATGCACTTTATGTTAGTAATGCTAATCTCTGTGTGAAGAACTGGCTTTGAATTTTATAATTTGATATGGGAATCACTAGTGTGGTGAATTCTAAAAAAACAATTGATGGCAATTGGCAATGTACATGATTGCTTCTTACAGTTGTTTCTCTTTTTGTTGGTAATGTTTTTAATAGAGCAAATGGTGGTGTTCAAGGTGAGCTGTCTTTCATCCAAGTTTTGAACAAACTGACATTAAGCTAGGAATTTATCAGCTGGCTGCTTTAAACATTCAAGTGTTATTCACTCGAATGCTTTTGTAATGTCTGACAGCACTTATTGTTATGGAAGCATGCTTTTTTCTGACTAGAGTTTCATTAAGACCTCAAGAGCTAGCCAAGACTGAAGTAAATCTTTAAATAATTGTAGTTGTAGAATGTATTTCAAACCATCTATTTCCACCTTTTCCTTGTTAGATGTTTTTGTTAGTTTCATAGCCACAGCAGAAAGCAAATTGTAATGGGATTAGAAAATATGTTTCAGCAAAGAAAACATGGAGCTGAGAAGCATCACTTGTTTCAACACTTTGCTCAAAAGACACAACATTCAAGACTGGCTGATAATATTCTAATACTATTTGGTCCACCGAGGATCATTTTAAAAGTAGTCTTACCTTTGCTTCCTTGAGGCCAGTGGCATCATGCCTCGTTGAAGAGGGGCATTAACTACATCATTAACCCACTTGGCCAACACTGATTTGACAGCTTTTATTAAATAAATGGGGCAAAGGTCTCAAACGTAGGTGATGGACCTAATATCTCTAATTATTATATCCAAAATAATCTACCCATCAAATGTAATTTTGTTCTTGTACAAGTGCAAGTGAAAATTGTCTGCAAATAATTGCTGATATGACTTGAATAGACTATCAAAGAGGTCGAAGGGTGTTTCATAATGAGCATTATGTATAGGTGAGCCTTTAAAAACTTTTAATGGTCTTACACAGTTTCACTTGGCTGTTATGTCAACTAATAATAAGACTCTTCAAAATAACTGAAAGGGTGCCCCCCCACCTGCCATAAAAAGCTGGTTGCCACCACCCATCCTTTTCCTGTTGGCTTCTCCAGTAATGTAGCAAAATAAGGACTTGCAGGGTCGACACCTGCTGGATTTTTTTGTAAACAGGAATGACAGTGTAAACAGCTTTCCTTATTGATTGATTGATTGATTGATTGATTGATTGATTGATTGATTGATTGATTGATTGATTGATTGATTGATTGATTGATTGATTGATTGATTGATTGATTGATTGATTGATATCCTGCCTATCTGGTCAATATGACCACTTTGAAGTCTTCCCTTCATCCTCTGGGTTCAGCTTCAATCTTTACTATAGCTTGTGTGCTGTGGAGAGATAAATTTGTGTGATATATTATAACCATGCATGTAATAGTTCTAGGGGGGGAAGGGTTAAACCAGATAGCTAATGGGGACTGGCTATCCTAGCTTAGGCATCCTCTAGCATGCATGGCTGTTCTCACTCTTCTATCTACTCACCCCTTACCTGTTTTGAATCTAGTAAGGAGGTACACATTGAAGCTTCTGGATGTTGTTTCTTCTGCAGAGATGCCTTGCCAGAAGGACAGTAGGCTAACTTCTTGAACTCAGGTTGAGCCTAATGCATTTCTATGTATGTAAGATGTCTGAGAGTAGTACAAACTAAACCTTGCTTTTGATCTTAGGAAAGGCTGCATAAAAACCTTTTTATCCCTTTTGCTCCAGCTACGTAACATTGGCTTTAAACAGCCACAGAGGAGGAGGTAACTGCTGAGTATGAGTACTTCCAAATAATTCTGCTAATTTTACCAAAAATCCGTAATAGAATTTTCTCAGCAAAAATGTATAACCTTGAGGTCATGTGTGTGATTGTGCATGCCTCTGTGTGTACACAAACAGTAATACACATATGTAATAGGTATGGGCAAACAAAGCTGTATATTTGGACTTTCTTTGGAGTCACAACTAGAAGCACTATCATGATGAGTGCCTGCATTTCAGAATTTAAACCACTGTGCTCATCTCGGTTCTCCCTCTTTTGCATACTGAAAACCCAGATGCCTGTGAATCAGTTCAAATTATTATTAGCCTCAAATGATGCTGCATTACATAAGGGCTTCAAGCAGAGTCACTCACATTTAATTTGGATTATGTATGATTGTGAAGAATTTGGAATTCCCTCTTCATTGTATTACTTGGACTGCTGTCCCTACTTGGCCTGGAAAAATACAGGACCATGGGATGGGTTTTTCTTTCAGTTTGTGATTTAATCAGAGATTATTAAACTGTTATTAACCTGCTTCTGATTAGGGCAGTGTCACCTAAAGTATCAGCAGATAATCCTGTTTAGTGAAACAGTCCAATACAGATTTTGCTCAGAAGGTTTTTGATGGAACTTACATGGTAGCTAGCTGACCTTTAGGAAGCCATTGCATTCTTGAAAAAGCATCAGGGTGATTTAATAAAGTGTAAACTGGTCTCTGAAAACATGGTTAGAGTAAAGGTTTCCTGGATGCACGCACATTATTTCAAATGGTGTGATCTTGGCTGATATTAAAGCAATAATTCTTAACACTTTACTCTTCCCCTCGGAAAGGAAGATAAAAGTCAATATGCTCCTCCATTAGAACTTACGGTTTCTCAAGAGCAGGTCAGTTTATTGCTGTCACAGCACAAGATGACTCTCCCTTCCTTGCTCTCACCCAACAGATTTGTTTAAATCAGCTGCATAAGCTATACTATGTGCTGGCTCAGGAACTACCAAGAGGAATACTTGGGTGGTATTGAGTCCAAGCACCATGGAAGAGCCCATCACAAATGACTACACAGAGCTCCATCTAATGAGAGCCTCAGAAGCAGCAGGAGTGCTCACCAATGCAAGTAGGCCTATAAAATGGCACTTTTCTGTAGATGTCCTCCAATACCATTGAGAGGTAGATGGTTCAGGCCACAAACTCTTCCACCTATCTAGGAATCCTAATTTATCAGCATATTTAAGGGGCCCCTTCAGGCCTCCCTGTTAAATGCAAAGATAGATAGGGCACAATAAGCAGATGTGAAATATTGTTACCTGCATGAAATTTATTCAAGGCCAGAACATTAAATCACCAGCTCACAGAATTAAAATTGTTAGACATTCAATTCCCCATTGTGCTTCCTTGACAAGGGCTGGACTCAATGATCCATACAGTCCATATCACCTCTACAGTTCTAAGATTACATTATTTGTTGTTGTTGTTTAGTTGTTAAGTCGTGTCCGACTCTTCATGACCCCATGGAACAGAGCACGCCAGGCTGTCCGATCATCCACTGCCTCCCGGAGTTTGGTCAAAAGATTATATTATATTATTATATATTAAAAGCACAATGCATTATATATTAAAAATTATTAAGCTGTAATAGTAATTAGTATACTAATTTAAGCATTTAAAAAAATTCATTCAGCTAAAAAAACAGT